ACGACAACCCATCATCCAAGTGGATTTTGCCTACATCAAATCACAACAAGACCCGAAGACCATACCAGTCTTACAGCAGTTGGTGTTACTACACAACTGTGCATGGCGGTATTGGTTCCGGACAAACCATCAATGATGGACTACATGATCAACAACCTACAAGCATTCATCTTTGAATGCGGAAGAACACACGGCATACTACAAAGCGACAACGAAGACACACTCAATGCACTACTAAAAGCAACAGCATCTAAAGTCGGCTCAATGACTGTACGACATTCACCATCCTACAGCAGCAACAGTCAAGGAAGCGTTGAGCGACTACACAGAACACTTCTCGGACAAATCCGCGTCGTCAAAGCTCAGGTTGAAAGCAACTACAGCATGACGATGTCCACAAAGCACTGTCTACTACCTTGGATAGTACGACATGCAGCATGGACGGTAAATCGCTACGTCATTCACTCAGATGGCTACACAAGCTTTGAACGCCGCTGGGGAAGAAACTACGAGCGAGCAATCCGCGAATTTGGCGAGACACTACTTTACCTTCCACCACAACACAAGAAACTTCCAAAAGCAGACCTACGGATGCAGAAATGCATCTGGCTCGGAAAAGTTTCCGAAACCGGAGAAAACTACGTCGCAACGGAATCAGGCGTACAAAAGGTACGAACAGTGCGGAGACTACAACCGGACTTCAAATACGACCTCGCACTGTTGAACAAAGTTTCCGGCACACCATGGCACCACGACGGAACACCTACAACCCATCGTTCGCAACACTGTTGGACACGCAACTACAACCGTCAGAGAAAAGAAGGTCCACGCAAGATTTCGGACAACAAACGAACGCTACGGACGACATCGTTGCGGAACCCGCAACAAAACAACAACGCACCACACCACCTCCACGACTTCCGTCAACATCGACGTCAAGTTCACGACCACTACCGGATAGTCCTATGGCTACTTCACCAACTGGACGACAACATCCACCACTACCAGCACCACCTCGACAAACACTAAGACGTTTAACTCCGGAAGAAGTAATGCAACCAACTAAAGCACAGAAGACCTCAAAGGACACTACAATCAGATCAACGGAGCAAGCAACCAAAGAACTACCACCACTACGACAGAAAATCAACGCAGTGACACTTCCCAACGGAAAATCCATCACTCCCTACACAAACGACGACACCTCAGAAGACCAACCCATAATCTTCGACAACGAAGGCTACGACGAAACACAACTACTGGAAGGAATGAAACACGAGTCAAACCAAATGAAACTACACGACGTCTACGACGAAGTAGATGCGTCTACCGTCAACGACAACGACATCAGAGAAGCGATACCTACAAGATGGGTACACAGAAAGAAAGGACCAGGAGTACGAAGCCGAATCGTCGCAAAAGGCTACACAGAGAAGATCGAGGACGAAGACCCCGTCTACGCCTCTACACCAATGTTCACGACACTCCGGACACTTCTCGCACTACAAATGTCACGACCAAACTGGATCGCGCGACTAGGTGACGTCTCTACAGCATTTCTACACGCACCCATCGCAAAAGACCACGACGGTAAACAACGTGACGTCTACCTTTGGCCACCTAAAGAACTTTGTCCACAACAGGACAAAATCTGGCGACTAAAGAAAGCCATGTATGGACTACGCAGTTCACCAAAAGCATGGCAGGACTACCTGGCTGAAGTGTTACAAAAACTCAGCTTTGTAAGACTAAAGTCAGAACCTAACGTCTACACCAATGCGACTCGCGACTGCTACATCATGGTCTACGTGGATGACCTCTTGGTACTTGGTGACAAGACTACTGTCGACTCCACCTTCGAGGCCATCCAGAAGCAGGTCCTACTCAAGCACATCGGCTACCTCGAACCTGGCAAACCACAACAATTTCTTGGAAGAAACATCGACCATTTTGGCAACTACTGCAACCTGGGACTATAGGACTCCTACATCGACAACATGATCGAGGAGTCTGGAATGAACAACTGCAACTCAGTGAACACTCCAGGAATTGCACACTACAAACCAACAATAGAAGATGAAGCACTACTTGACCACGAACAACACAAAAGGTACAGAAGGATTGTTGGCAAACTTCAATGGTTAGCACACACACGACCAGACATTGCATACTCCACAAAAGAACTAGCACGAGACCTCACAGCACCTACAGAACTTTCACAAAAGAGAGTCAATCATCTACTACGCTACTTGCACGGCGCCAAGCACTACAAATTCACCATAGAACCAACAACAACACTCAGAGCAAACACCAACAACATCCCGGATCTCGACGTTCATGTCGATGCCGACTGGGCAGGATGCCCTACTACCAGGAAATCAACTTCAGGTTTCAACATCATCTTTTTAGGAACAACAGTTGCATTTGGCAGCAGAACACAAGCTACAATAGCACTCAGCTCAGCAGAGTCTGAACTCTACGCCATTTGCACAGGAGTTAATGAGGGACTACACCTCAGAAATTTCCTACTTGAAACCAACATTTGCAGCAAGCTAAATTTTAAACCTACGCATCCACACAGACTCCACAGCAGGCAAGAGCATTGCTACACGACGAGGCACTAGCAAACGAGCGAAACACATCGACCTTAAATTTCTCTACGCACAAGACCTCATCAAGCACGACATCATCAGAATCCTCAAAATCAACACACTACACAACAGCTCAGACTTGTTCACAAAATACATCAGCAAAGAAACACTACAGAGGCTCATACAGAGCATTGGCATACGCGTTTAGCACTACGAACAACAACTGTTTCACAACTGTTTCACATCAACCACAACAGTTTGTATATGGCCATATGTAACTACTTGCATGTAAGTAACAGTAACAGTAACGGTAACTACAAGTCACAGTAATTGTAACCACCAGAAATTTGCACTTGCACGTTTGGCGGCTTTTGGCGGCTTGGGACAACATTACATGTTGTTTTGTTTTACTACATGCCCGCATGTGCTTTTGTGAGCTAACATTGGCTCACTACTGTCTGCCCCGTTTCACTGCATCTCGATAGGCCGAACTACCAGCAATGGCTGGAACTACGCCCATGGATGCGACTACGCTGAATGTCATGCCGATGGAGGTTACTACATCAGCTCCAGAGGCTACTCTGCCCGTCGAACAACAGGCTGGCATCACTACACCGGACCGTGTTTCCACACCACCAGATCGACAGAATACTACCGACTCCAGCAGCATGGCCACTTTGGCCACACCACCACCTGAGGCACACAACGCCCTCAACTACAACTTCAATCACCAACTACCCACACCTGCACCCGACGACATTTTGGCACATCTCACGACTGTTGAGAACAACATCCCCGACACTCCAGCGATCGACCCGGCACAGAACAACTTCAGGGTCTACGTGGCTTTGACGCTAGAGGAATTTCAACTACTCAGTCAACAACAAACTACGCCCATTCCCGAGCTCAACTACAACCTACCAATTCACGACCTACCCTCAGACATTCGGATGCCAATTTACGACTCACTACCTCTTCACCTACGTCTTTCAGAGGCAGTCAACTTCTACTACTACAACCTGACATCACTACACCTCACAACCCAGTACATCAACTCGATGGTCATTGTCCAACTACACCTTCCACAAGAAGTTCTACTACGATAACTTCTCCCGCGACTACGTGAGCCACATGATCTCCATCACCGACAAGCACCACCTTCCTACACGCCAACTACATCAACGACTACACCGAATCAGCTAAGATTTGGACCAAATCACCACTACATTCAACCTATCCAACAACTTCATTTGGACTACCACATGCCCTTGTACCTACCCGAACTACTCAACTACTTCGACCAACCACAACAACTTCAAGACCACCACTACAAGTCCATCAACACGATTCTACACAAAAGTGCCACCTACTACGGCATCACCCTACTCACGGCTACGAATCTTTCCACGCAACACAAACTACTACTCCACAACTTTCTCACTACAACCGGCCAAGCACTTGCACCACCGGAGTGCGACTACAACCGTCTCCGTGGCGGACCAGACTTCCTCAACACATTCACTACCAACCGCATCGGCCAAGTCCAGAACTACCGAGTCCACCACTGGACTAAGCACACCTGATCTACAGGTGGAACTACAACTACTTGCTGTACTACGTCATCGTACTACGAGATGACTGAGAGCCACTTAGGGTTCTTGTACAGCACCTTCACATTTGATCATTTGAAGGTTAGTTGAACTACAGACAGCAGCGCTGTAGACACCTACCTTCGGTCATTTTTTAAAAGACTACATGCCTGTTCGCTACAGTAGCATCGGCAAACAACATGTGCATTCGTTTTTGCCACAAATATCATGCTGCACTACTTGTCCCTTGTGCATGCATGATGTACACTACCCGACCGCAGGCCTTGAGTCTACCAGGAAAAGAGTGCATGCTGGCTAACTACATTTGCGTTTGTGACAACATAAACAACACCTGCACTTGTAGTAAAGTATCGACGTATTTAACGGGAGAGAGAGAGAGAGAGAGAGAGCGAGAGAGAGAGAGAGAGAGAGACGGAGAGAAAAAAATGATATTCATCGGACTGTTGCAGCCTCTTTTGGATATGCGTGGTGTAACTGTTGCATCTACCCACCAAACATGCTGCCCATCCAATGAACTCTTGCCTCCGCCCCGGGCTGCTCATTCAAAACGCACCTTCTGCTTCAAGTTCCTGTTTGGATGCATCTGCGCTGGCCGTGTCATTTCTTTGCCAGGATGTCTGTCTTACCTTCCATGGTGCAGATTCCGATTTCGAAAAGGCGACCTTATAAATGTTGACAAACGGTATACCAGTATATTACTCTTATACCAAATGTGCGCATATCTATGTATACATATATATATATGTAGGTGTTATACATTTTGTTTGAAATCATTCCCGACTAGATTCACTCAGCTGTCTGCGCAGGAGATGTTCCGCAAGGCCAAGGAAGTAAAGCTGGATGGCTCGGGGCCGACGCCCAGCGTGGGGGCTGTCACGGCCGCGTGGCCTGATCGATCGGGTGTCTGGAAGAGCCGGGCCATGGGAGAAGAAATCGGCAAGGTTTTGGTGCAGCTTTGGGGTAGCTTCTGCGTAGCTCTTGCGTAAGATGAATGTTCGGTCTACCGTAGGCAGGTGACCACTGAGTGGCCCTGTGGGCCAATCGGATTGGAGACTTGATCGAGACAGCGACACGAGCGACACGAGCGCTGAGGCCATGACGGTTAGCCCTTCCGAGGACTGAGTGCAACGCACCAAATGCCAAGTGGATGGGGGGTCCTCAGGAAAAATGGCAGTCTGTTTGTATTGTGTAATTAGCTCAAGACTTGTGCCACCTGGTTTGCAGGAAACCGTCGCCATAGCTACTGGAGGCAACCAGCTGCTGACGCAACTTGGCTGCAGCATTGGCCGCAGCATTGCGGATGGTGGGCATTTGGGGTGGGGGAAGTTGTTTTCCACGGTGCTTGTCTGCTCGGCAAAGGGCAGACAACTCTGGCATGTTCGATTCGTACGATCAAGCCAGGTTTTCACTGAGCCCCACGGACCTTATCAAGGCGGAAGACAGTGCAGTGGAGCACGCTTTGACGTCGTTTCACTCTGGGCCACGACCTGAGCGCTTGACTTCAAAAGCGGCCAACGCACTCAGAGACTCATAGCCAAAGCGACTTTGATCTTAATAGGTTTCAACGTGCGACCGAGTCCAATCTTCGGCCTGGATGTGTGCGTGCGCAAGCCGCTGGTTGTCACCTGCGGCTGCTTGGCAATGGATCGACACCCCCCAAGTTGCAAGCAAAGGAAGCCTGAGGCTTCCGTGGAATTTGGTAGACTGTCTTGCAATGAAGGCACCGACAAAACAGTTCGGATCTGGAATTTTGTCGACAAGACGCTGGAGCTATGCAAAGTCTTCAACGAGGAGGGGCTTTCCTTGCATTGTCCTGGTTTACGCGCATTGGCTCAGTTCCGTGCTTTGCGAGGAAGCCTTTTCAGTCGCCTTCCACCCAAGCCACTTGAATTTATTATTGCTTTTTTCCGCATGCGTCATGCCGCAGGGTATTGAATTAGTGGTGTTGCATTGTACGCTCTCTTTGCTTGGTGGACAGACAAGGCGGGTTTCACTTGATCGTGGGCTTTGCAGACAAAGTGCGTTTGATGAACCTGCTCATGGAGGATTTCAGAACCTACAAAGAGATTCCAATCAAGGCTACCGATTTGCAATTGCCCTCTTGCGTTTTGCTCTTGGGAAGCCCAGACTGTTGCGAGGCTTGCCGCGAGTGCCGCTTTAGCCATGGCGGGCAGTTCTTTGCAGCAGTGAATTCAAACACCATCCAGGCGCTCTGCGCGCGTGCCTGATGGCTCTGGCCGGCTTTCGTTGCATGCCAGGTGTACAAGACCTACACCTGCGAGGTAGTTTGCAATTTGCGTGGTCATCAGTCCAAGGTGGGTTGGGTTCATTGAGATGTGTTGTGCAGTGCATTGCCTGCGACGGGCTCAGGTGAAGGCAGTGTGCTGGACCACAGATGACTTCAAGCTAGTGTCCACTGGGCAAGATGGAGCCACCTATGAGTATGACATCCTCAAAGAAGGCCGCCGAGTATCTGCCGCGCGGCTGCATTTAAATGGTGGCCGGTGTTGCCCTGCCATTGAAGATTTGTTTGGCTAAGTCTTGCCGCTTCGAGGAATGGTCGCAGAAAGGCACCAACTTCACCAGCACCGGGGCTGTCCAAGAGCGAAAGAGTTCAGGCACTCTCTTTCTGACGCTACACCAAGGCATCATTGCATACACAAACCCTGAAGCTGCACAGCAGTCGACGACGCTGTTTGTAGCGGGATCTGACAAGATGCTGAAGGAGGCTAGCGCAAGCATTTGCATCAGACTTATGCCATAAGCATTTGCTTGCATGTACTTTGTGAACCCGCCATGAATCCTTGAGGTGCAGAACTCGCAGCTGAACAATTACTTGGAGTCCAACGCCACTCTGGGACAGCTGGCGCTTGCGCCAACTGCACGTGCGCTAATCGCAGGAGTGGCCGAGCCATGTGCCTAGCGGAGCACTCACTTTTCCGCCCCTTGCTCAAGCCCTGGCCGAGGCCAGACATGCCGGGCTCCTTGCGCTGCTACACCTTTCCCTTGACTGGGGACTACGTGGAGTACCAGGCCGTGCCTTCGATGTGTGAGCTGAGATGTCAAGACGGTTAGGCACACGCGGCTCCTGTCTCCCGGATCCGGATCGCATGGGATGAGTCCCCTGCAAAGCACTGGCAGCTCTAAGAGCCTTATTACATTGCTCTCGGCTGTTTTAGGACACAAACTTGGCTGGATGCAGCCTAGGCTGTACTTGTTCAGCACCGGCGACGACGGCTGCCTTTGCATCTTCGACATTAAGAAAACGGGACCCTGCAAACGAGACAAGGCCTGCCTGTCAGAGATGGCATGACTGGCTCCCGCCATCTTGTGCCATTCTCGGAAGTGTCGCCATTGCCAGGACTCGGGCCTTGGATATGCCGACGAGATCCTGGTGACGCGGCAATTCCTGGACGAGAAGCAAGCCGTGCTGCTGGAGTTGGAGCGGAAGGCATGCAATACTGAAGTGCCAGATGGCGAGTCTTCAGCAGGAAGTAGAGCACCCCATGTGATGTGCAGGTTGAGGAGTTGGACAGCCGCATCGCCTTCCAGCTGAGACACCGGGACGGCCTCCACAAGGAGAAGATGGCGGAGATGCAGGAGAAGTACAGCTGGAGCCTCAGGCAAGTTTTCCTGCGAGTGGTTTTCTGGTTTTGTGTTTGATTATTTTTTTGTTTTTGTCTGGCGCCAAGGCGAAGAGATTGAGACGGAGCGGAGGAAGTTCGAGGTGCTTCGGGAGGAGAAGGCGGAAATGGAGATGGAGAATGCCGCTAAGCTGCAAGCTGCAAGCTGTGTTTTGCCTCGAGAATTCGACATTCGACATTCGCCCACGAGCCAAGGAAGAGCATATCAAGACTCTGGAAGAGAGCCACGCAAGGTACCTCCAGGGGCAGCAAGAGTCCTTTGACCAGAAGATGATTGTTGAGGAGAGGGTTGGCGAGCTGGAAGGGTGAAAGAATCTGGAATGCCGTGCCAGGATCAACGTTACAAGAAGCTCGAGGCGGATTTGGCCACGCACTTAGTGAGTGTGTGAAAGTAACAGTCTCGCAGCCTTCAATTGTGATTAATCTGAATGGAAATGCTGGACTGCTAGACAAGCTCGGGGGCGATCATCATCCATGTAGGCCACTCAATGCCCACAAGCCAGCGAGAGTGCTTAAGGAGCGCGAAAAGCAGGAATGGGAAGCTCAACACTCGGCTCTCTTGACAGAGCATGCGGGCGTCATTGAGCAGATGAAGACTAGCTGCATTTGCGGCACAAGTTGCTTTACCCTGGCACTACGTCCAGTTTACTGGCATTGCAAGGGCAGACAACAGCCCGTGCAAGCATCGAAACGAGACCATGTAGTCTTTGCAATGTGTGAGCGAAAGCATCTATTGGAAGGGCGGCTTGTCTCAGGAAGCAAGATGCCGAGAAGATCCAGAGGGTGAACAGAGAGACCATGGACAGGCCCTGGGTTCCGATGTTGAAGCGTCCTGAAGGCACTTACCTTCGCTGGCCGTGCCTCAAAAAGGAAGTGCATTTCTCATCCTGACCATGACAGGATCATCAAGGAAAAGGAAATGGCTTTCAAGCACCATCAGGCCATGCCCTGTTACTTTTTTTCTTGGCTCATGGTGAAATCTCGTCGAGGAGACACTGGCACAGCTGGAGCAAGATGCCGATAGAGAGATTGAAGAGCTGAAAGAGATGCACCCTGGCAGTGCAAGTGCAAGCAGTGTAGGCAGCGTAGTCAGTGTAGGCAGCGTAGGCAGCGTAGGCAGCGTAGGCCATCGGTTCTGTGCTTTGCTGCCACAGTTTGTGTCGAAGGTATGAGCAGAAGCTGGCACAGGAAAAGGATGACAAAGTCAGACTCCGTGGTCAAGCGGGCATCCACCAAAAGCACCACCATGACCTGAAGCTGAGTCGCAATTTGGGCATTGCGGTGCTTTGTCAAGTTGAGATCATGTTTGGCACGTGTTTTAAATTGATGCGGGAGCTTTGAGGAACACAGAGATGATGAAAAAAGAAGAGGAGGTCAAAACGAAGGCTGAAGAGAGCCGAAAGGCGGAAGAGAAGATCCAAGGATTGGTAAAGGACTGGCTTCCGAAACGCCGTTTGCAAGCTGCTTTTGCCTTCGCGTTGCGAGCTGCTTTTTTGACTGCGGACTGGAAGCATCTCGAGGACAAAGACTCCAACGAGAAGGAGATCAAAGAGCGCGACAAGACCATCGCTGACAAGGAGCAGAGAATTTTCGACCTCAAGAAGCAGAACCTCGGCTGCAGGGCTGAGGCCTGCCAGCCCAAGCCATGGGCCATGGGTATGGGGCGGAGTCAGGCTGGCCTGAGCTCTAAGGAATCAGGAGTTGGAGAAGTTCCGCTTCGAGACTTGGTAAAGGCTTTCAAGGGGCTCACTGGGTTCATGCCCGGGCAAGCCACGTATCACTGGGCGGCATGACAAGATCCGGGATAAGGTGCTGGACTACAAGATCCGGGAGCTCAAAGCGCAGATCGATCCAAAGACCGCAGACATTGCCTCGATGAAGACTCAGACGCAGGCCATGGAAGACGAGCTCAATGACTACAAGCGTGACCTGGCAAGCATTGCTCTGTGGCCTTCTCGGCCATCCGTTCCTGCACAGGCAAAAACAAGCAGCTCGTCCCGGGCTCAGCGCGCCAGGTTTAGAGAGAGAGACAGACTTCAACGCGACGAGACGGGAAAAAAGTGGTGGAAAACAAGATTGGCGCGCGAACACTGCAAGGCACTTCAGATCTCCCAGCTGCAGATGAAGCAGCGAGCACTGCAAGAGGTTTGGGGGTGTGGGGTGGGCTGTCTGTGGTTTGCCTGGAGTTAAAGGGCCGGAGTCGCGCCAATGGACAACAAGCCGAAGGTTGATTGACACACCGTATGACGCTTCAGGAGATCAAAGCACAAAAGAGGACTGACCTTGGGCGAAACACTAGCAGAACGCAAGATGCTCGCATTCATTGCAAGTCAATTTGCTGTGCTGACTTGTCACTCTGGGGGCTACTGCAGTTCCACAGCTGTCACAGCAACCTCCCCGCATCTTGACGGAAAGAGAAGCAGCCCTCACACCATGCTGCATATGAGTCATATGATCAGGTACTGGCCGCAAACATCGTCACTCGTTTGGGATTCGGCAGGAAGCTTCGAGACGACTTGGCCCTCATCAAGCGCTTCAAGCTCGATTTGAGCGATTGACACTTGACATGGCGAAGGGGCAAAGGGGCGCAGGGCCGCAGGGGCGAAGGGGCGAAGGGGCAACGGGGCGAAGGCTTCCGGGAAGATGCGTCCGGATTTGACTCTCACTCCGAGGCATGGAGACCATTGCCGAGCCCAAGGCCTTGAAGGAGAGCGTCACGGCGCTCTACCGGAAGTATGTCCAGGGCGGCGCCAAGAGACAGGACTTGGATACGGACATGCAGAAGGAGTACAACAGGCCAGCCATAGAGCATATGGAGCTTGCTTTGTCTCGTTTGCATCTCGTTTGTTTCGTGCTTGTCTCTCTCTCTCTCTCACTCTCACTGTGTTCATCTTTCTATCTTTCTATGCTTGTTCGAGGCAGCGCGACTATTTGGAGAAGTCCGTAGATTCCCTGAAGCGGAAGCTGGAGAAGGATAGCCAGGCCCACCGCATCGACAACATGCGGATTATGCAGGCGCGCTCCGGGCACGGAAGGCGGGATTTCGTGGCAGCGTGCGAGCGGGCAGGAGAACGTGTCCCTGATACGAGAGATCAATGACCTACGGCGCGAGATCAACAACCTGAAGCATGAGCGACAAGCGCAGGAGTCTCTAGAGGAATGCCTTCCAGGGATGGGAGCACAGAGTCAGCCAGAGTCAGCCAGGAGCTGGCAAATATGGGCAGCATGCAGAGCAACCGAGCCGACTTGGAGCGCTGACAGCTGAGCTTTTTCCGGAGAGTTCTGCCTGCACGCGACTTGCTTGATTACGTGCGTGGCTAAGGGGAGCTGGACATGCAGAAGGAGGAGATGGAGGCACCAGTTACTTTCCCTCCGCCAGATTTGGAGACACGTGTGGTGGCCAACTCCAGGAGCTCACCAAGCAGCTGAAGGATTTGGAGCAGTGACATGTGCAACCGGCAAGGGCGCTCGTGGCACAGTAGACCAATCTTGAGAACCACAGCGCCTTTCCCAATACACGTGAGCCGCGGCGTGCTTGCCGACCCGATCCAAGAGTGTCAGGGCAAAAAAAATTGCCCGCCTTCAAGGAAGGCTCACGCGGCGATTCGAGCGTTTCACTTTCAGTTTCACCCCGATGCCACTCGAATGATTAGATGATTAGATGATTAGATCAGACTTCTTATGTTTCTTGTGTCATCCGAGCGGGTTTGGGCTGGTGCTAGTGCCTCCCTGAACCCAGGGCTCCGACTGGGCGTAATAGCTCGTGGGATGCCCCGCGCTGTGCAGGTTAGAAACTAGGCACAATGAGTTTCCAGAGCTTCTCATTTCTGCTTCGTTGGCCGTGCTGATTGCTAACGCTACGCTAACGTCGCTAGGCCTTTTCAAGGTCTACAAGAGCGGGGCTCGGCAGGCGTGGGAGGCCGGCGGGGCCGCTTGACAGTGCGGCAGCTGTGCCAGACTGGCTGTAGGATGTGCCGCGAGCCTGGCAGACTCGCATGAACTTTCCCGAGTTCGTGTCTCAGACGCACCGTGGCAACTACGGGCCGATGCTGGATTCATGCAGATCCCACGGTTTCCGAGGTTCGCGCACTGGATGCAGGAGCAGGCCATCTCCAGATCGCGCGGGTTCGCTGTCTCGGAGCGGTGCCTTTTCGATGCGAGGGCCCAAGGGTGCAGAAATGCGCCTGTCATGCGAGTCAGCGCCCAAGACCTGAGGCTTTGGACCTCAACGGCATCGGAACGGTGACTTTGCAGGCAGCGGGTGGTTGGAGTATCAGTGTCCTTAGCGCGACTGCCTAGGAGTTCAAGTTTCTGGACCATTGGGCGCACAAGCGGCTCAAGAAGCCGTTGCCAGAGGAAGTCTGGCGCTTCCATCTCTCATGCGACTGTTGTTTGCATGGAGTTGATTTGCATGGCCTTGGCGTGTTCGCAGCTTCGGCCCTGGGTGCCTGGAGGCTTCCATGGGAACACGGGGGACGTATGGCATGGCGTGGTTGGTCCGGGACGGAGGTGGGCAAATTTGTCGCCAAGTTCTGCGACCTTCCTGAGTACACGGCTGCATTGTCCCAGATCCCAGGGGACACTTTGCAGCAGCTTCTGGAAGCCAACATGCTTCGCAAGGGCTTGGCGAGGGCAGGGGTGCGGGACGCGGACCACCAGAGCCGCATCTGCAAGGCCGTGCTGCAGCTGGAGTCTTGGAGCCCTGAGGAGCTGGCTGCCTGGGCCAAAGACCCGAGCCCTCGCCACTTCCGGGCGCCGCCGCCCAAGAAGCGGCCAGGCCGGCGGCCGTACCTGCGGGCCGCGCACGTGGCACTCGGGGCGTCGCTCGCGCCCCGCAAGCAGAGCCTCACAGAGGCGAGTCTGCAGCGGAGCTCCCAGGTCTCAGGGCACGAGGCCAACGGCTCCCAGGGCCGAAGGACCCCGCGGCTCTACGACAAGAGCCAGATCTTGGAGGAACGGCTCAAGGAGGAGCTGGAGCAACTCCATCTCCTGAACCCTCCGGCACTGGACCTGGACGTGCAGCTGCGCTCCCGGGTGGCGCGCTCTGTCCTGGAGTACGAGGCCATGCGGGACAGCGACTCCCCGCCCCCTGGCATAGTCACGGGCCTGCGTGGGCTCCAGCAGTTGAAGGAGGAGGAGGAGGGCGCAGCCACCCGGATCCAGGCCAAGTTCCGGCAGAAGAAGGCCAACGAGGAGGTGCAGAAGCTGCAGCAGCAGAGAGAAGAGGAGAGCCAAGCTGCGACAAAGATCCAAGCCAAGTACCGAGGCAAGAAAGCGGGAAAAGATCTCCAAGAGATGAGGGAGCAGAAGGCAGCCGCTGTCTCCATACAGACCAAGTACCGCCAGCGTGCTGCCCAAAAGGAGGTGCAGATTCGTCGCCAGGAGGTTGAAGAGACGGTGGCAGCAACAAAGATCCAGAGCAAGTTTCGTCAGAAGCAGGCTGCCTCAGAGGCACAAGCTCTGCGGACAGAAGTGGAGGCACAGTCCAGGGAAGAGAGGCGGAAGGAGTTTTGTCGCAAGTACGTTGTGAAGATTAATATCCGGATGAATGCTGCAACATCGCAAGCTTCCGTAGACATGTCAGTTGAAGAGAAGCATGCAGAAGACGAGGAGGCGACTGCTGACATAGAAGACAACGAGGAGACAACACAGGCTGCCACGAAGATTCAGGCCAGATTCAGGCAGAAACAGGCTGCGAGCGAAGTAGAGGCATTGAGGAAAGCCAAAGAAGGCGGCGCTGCGGAGGCAGAGGGCATTGACATCGAGGAAAGCGAGGAAACGGCACAGGCTGCTACGAAGATTCAGGCCAGATTCAGGCAGAAACAGGCTGCGAGCGAAGTAGAGGCATTGAGGAAAGCCAAAGAAGGCGGCGCTGCGGAGGCAGTTGGGCATTGACATCGAGGAAAGCGATGAAACGGCACAGGCTGCTCGAGGATTCAGGACAGATCAGGCAGAAACAGCTGCGAGCGAAGTAGAGGCTTAAGGAAAGCCAAAGAAGACGGCGCTGCGGAGGGCAGAGGGCGATTGACCATCGAGGAAAGCGAGGAACGGCACAGGCTGCTACAACGAAGATTCAGGCCAGATACAGGCAGAAACAGGCTGCGAGCGAAGTAGAGGCATTGAGGAAAGCCAAAGAAGGCGGCGCTGCGGAGGCAGAGGGCATTGACATCGAGGAAAGCGAGGAAACGGCACAGGCTGCTACGAAGATTCAGGCCAGATTCAGGCAGAAACAGGCTGCGAGCGAAGTAGAGGCATTGAGGAAAGCCAAAGAAGGCGGCTCTGCGGAGGCAGAGGGCATTGACATCGAGGAAAGCGAGGAAACGGCACAGGCTGCTACGAGGATTCAGGCCAGATTCAGGCAGAAACAGGCTGCGAGCGAAGTAGAGGCATTGAGGAAAGCCAAAGAAGGCGGCGCTGCGGAGGCAGAGGGCATTGACATCGAGGAAAGCGAGGAAACGGCACAGGCTGCTACAAAGATTCAGGCCAGATTCAGGCAGAAACAGGCTGCGAGCGAAGTAGAGGCATTAAGGAAAGCCAAAGAAGGCGGCACTGCGGAGGCAGAGGGCATTGACATCGAGGAAAGCGAGGAAACGGCACAGGCTGCTACAAAGATTCAGGCCAGATTCAGGCAGAAACAGGCTGCCAGTGAAGTAGAGGCATTGAGGAAAGCCAAAGAGACCGAGGCAAAAGATGCAGGTAGAGATCCCGCTGTTGAGCAAGTCACTGTTGCGGATGCAGGAGCGTCTGCAGAGTACAGCGAGGTTGAGGCCATGCTGTTGGAGAAGGAGAGGCAGCAGCAGCAGCTTGTAGAAGATCGATCGCCCAAGGCCCCAGTGGAGACCATGGCGCCGAGCTTTGAGAAGCGACCGGTGTCAGTCAGCCCAGCTATTCCAGAAGGAGATGAGGAGGAGTGATTGTGACACTCTGACACACAAATTCCACGGACACTTCTTTCCCTCAACTTCTAAGCAACCCCAAAGGGGTCCCGCTTGAGAAGGGCGGGGGCCGCCACGTCTCACCCTCATCAACGAGAAAGCGCATGTGGAGGGTCTTGCCAAATTCTGCTGCATGCTTGCTGCTTGCTCCGTGCTGGGCTGCTTGCTCCACATCTCGCTCTCTGCCCGCTCGTCCAAGGTCCAGCAGAAGCCACCGCAACAAGAACGCTCCGTGGAGCTGAGCCCTCGACTGCGCAAGACAGGAACCTGCCTCATGCAATGTCCCAGGTTGCCGGTGACCAAGCCACCGAAGAAGAACACCATCAAGGGTGCGCATCCAAGAGAGAAGAAGAGAGAAGAAGGAGGCCTTTTTTAAAATTTTACCAAGTGTGTTGTCCTTCAGACTTCTGCAGCTTCCTGGAGACCCGCTTCGGAGGGCCTGGCGGAGCCGGGCGCGCTTGGCGCGTAGCGATGGACGTGAAGGCGCCCGCGGCGCCCGCTGAAAAGCGTGTGTTCTGTTCCGATGCTCAGTTCCCGGGCGCTCAGGGGAACGGCGCCTTGACCCTCTTCGAGTTTGGCAGCGGCTGCCGGGCAGTAGGCCAGCTCAAGTCATGCTGACGGGATCCAGTGCCTAGTGCCCAGTGTTCGGATGCGGGGAAAGGCGGCAAGATCATTAGGTCATCCCTTGCGCAGGCAGCAAATGCCCCACACACACGCACACACGCACACGCACACGCACACGCACACGCACACGCACACACACACACACACACACACACACACACACACACACACACACACACACACACACACACACACACACACACACACCACAACACACACACACACGCAAACACTCTCAACACACAAC